GACGTTAATTCGTTCCAGCGAAATCGCTGTAGAGCAAAAACGTCGTAAAGCAAAATTTAAAAACCCATTGAAACGTATTAAAACCTGGTTAAAGCGTTCCAATGGGCTAAAAACTCACTGTCCAGCGAAGATCCTCCATATGGCGGCCATTTTCAGTGCCTGTATAGTGAGGAATCCGTCCCTAAGCACAGCGGGGAACCAGTTTGAGCACCTGGTGGCCATTTTGAAAACCTGACGATCAGCTGTTTTGATCATTGTAATGCGAAGAATCAGTTCCCGAAGCAGGGAACCGATCTTTGCAAAGCAAAAAAAAACCATTTAGACCAATTGCAATCGCAAAAACATCGTTGTGAAGCGGATTTGTTGTAATGCGGGGTAATCATTAAGTGGGGCACGACTATTTCGTTCTCAATGAACTTAGGAGTGTTTGTGAACATTCTGTGCTATCACATCAACTCTTCCATCCAACCTCACAGATTTCATTACATACAACATGCAAGAGAGACATTTTATCTCCTTTCATCACAAAGTGAGCACTGTATATAACTAAGAGCATTTCCATCCATCTATTCATATTACTCATATAATTTTCCAGAGGACATTGCAGTTTTGTATTACAGCAGGAAATACTGGTTATTCATTGGGTCACATGGAGCAAAACTCAAAGACAATTTGTGTTTTTCTCTTTTTTGGTGGTCCTATGGAAATAAGAGGTTTTGGGATGAGGCAAGAGAAAAAACACTCTCCAAACTTTAATGACAAAAGTCAGCATATTACAAAATAAACATTCCAAACCCAAATGTCTGTGTGTTTGGGACAGATTTCAGTACATCTGCAGCAGAGACGCTGTGGATCAAAACTGGTGATACAATCAGTATGGTTCATGCAGCTCTCCGTGACCTTTTCCTGTTTTAGACTAAGCGTGCACAACCCCAATCTGGATTAAGTATTGGGGATTTAAATTTACCCTATCTTTCGTTCGGGATTTAAAAATTCCCATCTGTTTTTTAATTTAACCTTCCTCCATGCAGGGGTTAAAAAAAGGACTCCATCAATGCAAATGAAGCCCTCTCTCTTTTAAATCTCCTGGGTTAAATTTTCAAAATAAAATGCCCTGTGATGGTGGTGGTTGGTGGTGGTGGACCAATTTAGACTTCTCCCATTTGTGGCAGGCTCCAGACCAGATCATGTCTGCACAGACATATTCTAGAGTAGAAAATACCAGAGGCAGCAGCACACTGGGTGCTGAATATGGTGCAGAGCGTGGCTCAGATTCAGTTCTGAAAGCATTCAGTGCCCCTCAGATGGTCCCTAGTCTTGGTTTATGGGTGTTCACATTTAGGCCCCACGTTTCTGCAAGCTGGTCACAGGTGGCAGATGTGCTGTTGAAACCTCTCCCACTTGTGCTGCTTCCAGCCTGAAGCTGGGCTGCACATGCTTACTCTAGAGTAGAAAATGTCACCTGCAGCTGGACCTTGCAAACATGCAGTTTCTTCACAAAAGTCCAAATAGCCCTTCAACTGGTTCTGTGGCTCCCCCAGTGTCCTCTAAACAGGTTTTCCCTCAAACAAGACACCCCTGGCTACCCAATGACAGCATGGCAACTGGAAACGCAAGCTGCTCGGAGTTTAGCAAACAGGTTGTGTTCGGGTGGCTGGGGGGGAGAAGGGAGGTGTCAGACTTATCTGTTCAAAACTGAGGGCTGTGAGTGAGAGGGTGGGTGGGGGGAAGAGTTAGATTTCCCTTATGTTAGACTAAGCAGCTCCTGCCATCCTCAACAAAGCAACCACACCTTGAGCCAAAGAAGGCTCAGAAGGGGACAGTAGAGGAGACAAAGAAGAAGAAAGGGAAATTATGCAGTCTTACATTTCAGAACAAGGACTGAGCAGTACCCCATCCGGCTACCCAACCCCACGGACAATATTCAGCAATGGTTATTTCCTACCATTCGGCATGGTTTGACATTGCAGCCACGCAGCTGAAGATGTTTTATGTTTACCCAGAGATAAATCCCACTCAATTTAAGGAGGCTTCTTCGCAGTAAGAGGGCATAAGTTTACTGCGCTATACGAGCACAAACGTATGTCCACTCAGAAGCCCTGTTTTGTTTCTGAGGGGGCTTTACTCCAGAAATGACTAGGTTCAAGGTGCAACATTTACGGTACATTGGGCAATTATTATAAAGTTCAGGTGCCTATTTATTGTATCTCTACCTCAACAATAACATATACATTTTTTAAACATGTGAGCGGGATACAGCACAACACACGTACATAAACACAGTAGAATGAATCAATCTGAATGCCAGTTCCTCCCATATTCACCGGAAACATCTAAAAATAATATGTATCTGTGTAGCTACAGACGTTCCATTTGGATGGACGTGAGCTCAGAAGGCTTATGCAGCTCTTTCAAAAGTCTTATGGCACCCATCTTAACCTTGCCCAGCCATGTCAACCCTAAAACATGCATAATGTTCCTGTCTGGAAATGATACAAAGAGTTACAGCAAGAACACAGACCTGTGATGTCTTCAGCAGCAGGCGGTCTCTCCCTTCTGAAGTTCACTTCAGCTTTCTGCTCGTTTCCTGTGAAAGCACCCTGCGACACCACACTTCCGCACAGCACCTTTAAAAAAAGAGAAAGAAATCAAACTCAAAAATCTTGCTTCATCTATTTTGCTTCTAACTGAGAATACTAATGCTTTAGACACGTATACATCTCTGTATTTCACTTTTTGCAAACGGCCACCCGCTGCACTTCGTTTAGCTTTGTCGGGTTTCACAAAAGCTGAAGAGTAAATACAAGGAGGCAACTAGAAGTGTATAGGAATGTCTCTTAGGCCAGTTCAGGTCCATCATAAAGCTTAGTCTGTGAGTTTTTGTGCATGTGTTGAAACCTATTGATGCTACACTGCTGACTCATATGAAGCGTGCTGTCGCTTCAGCCAGCCCTGGGCCACAGGGACAGAACTACACCAAAGTGAATAAGCATGAACACAAAACACATTCCTTCCTGCTATTAACTCCATCCTCTCTCCACAACTTTACCACCTACAGAGTTTATTTCTTTTTTTCCCCCACTCACATTAGCTTGGCTCCTAGGTTTCTACACGCAGGAATACAACTACCATACCAACATATTATGGATCTGGCAGCAACTCTGGTACCACAGGAAAGTCTGAAAACCACAGGAAGTTTTGAAAGGGGCCGGTGCAGTAGGAAGAATCAGCAAAATGTTCATAAACAGGCTCACTTCTTCGAGAAGAGAGAGACAGTTCCAGACCTTACAAGGGAGAGGAGAAATGGAGACAAAGTCCAGTTTTGACAAACAGAGGGGATGGAGCCAATGTCAAATGAGAACATCTGCAACAGAAGAGATGGGGGGGGCTGTGCTTTAATATGAGTTTCAAGATGACTTGCCGTTAGTTTACATTTCTCAGTTTCCGAGGCCTGGAGGAGACTTAGAGATTCTGTGTGCGGTGCATAGAACACTGCATTAGAAACACAAATCCCCATTCAGCTACAAAAGTCACCGGGTCACCTTGGCCCAGCCTCTTATTCTCAGTCTAAACTAATTCCCAAGGTTCATTTTGTTCATTTTGGGGATGAAGAACCATCTGTGGTTTTGTACACTCCTGGATGGAAAATCAGGTTGTCTGTGATGGTGACAAAGATGTAGCAGCTACAACAAATGTAAGTTTCACAATCAAAACTCATCCTCGTCATTGAATACAAGTCCCTCTCTCTCCGTGAATGCCAACCACCTTTCTCTGCTCAGCTATGCTGGATTCACAAGGCAACCAAACAAGTGCTAATTAAAAGGAGACCCCCACATGCTTCTCAACTCGTGCTCTGAGAACTTTGATTCAAAGTGGGAGGCTTTGCCACGGCACCAGCTTCGCCTAACACACAACATACGGCAAATCAGGGTTCCTCTTCATGTTTAAACCTGTCCTGAAAAGAGATCTCACTTTTTATTGTAGCATGTTACTGCAACTGGCCCCCAAAGCAGACACATCTTAATCTGAATCTGTTATCATTCCCAAGCCAACTACACCAGAGCACAGAGTGCTGTCCTCTGAAGATGCCGGCCACAGAGGCTGGCGAAACGTCAGGAAGAACCACTTTCAGAACACGGCCAAAGAGCCCGAAAAACCCACAACAACCATCAGATCCCGGCCGTGAAAGCCTTCACGAATCTATTTTCCTTAGATATACAGGGAGGAGGACCATTTCCTGGCATGTTTCCAACACTAGCAGTAAGCTTATCCTATATCAGAGCCCCTTTAGGTACAGGATTATCAACTCTGATGGGAGCAGTTATCCAGGAAAAGGACCTTTCCCAAAAGTACCACTAGAAGCAGGAGCAAAGGGCCTCTCTACCTTCTTAACCCTACTTGGGAGTAGAGACATTAGGATGACCATTGAACCAAATTTATTCAGGGGAGAGAAGAAGGTCTCCAGGAATCTCATTAGCAGCTGGCAGAAGTGTAGCTTCTTTCTTTTTCCTAAGGTAGGGACAATCACTGTTTTGGCTATCTTGCCATAATTTTGGGTTATTCACAATTGTACCATGTTAAAGGTCATCCCACGTATATGCACGGGGCAAGAGAACTGTGGCTGTGGCGGCGGCGGCTTCCCCAAGCAGCACCACACATAAAATGTGGGCAGTGTTTGCAGACAAGTTTGCCAAGTGGCTCTCTTTGACCGGGACAGTGAGAGAAAGACAGACAGCCTCACAAAAACGTCTTCAAAGAAATTTAGGGTCACTGCCACCTGCAACACAGGCGGAGCCATCTGCTGTTGAGCTGGAGGTATCATCACCCAGGGCCAGCTCAAGGTGCCCTGATGCCTGAGGCAGATTGGTCCGTGGCTCCCCTACTCGCCTGTTCAAAGAGCACAGAAGCCAAAGCCAGCCAAGGTATTGTGGTCTATGTGGTAGAAAATCTCATCAGCATATCTTTCCGTCACTGGGGGAGGGAAATACAGTAATCAGAAAAATAAAGAGTCCCTGCTCTTTAAAAGCACCATTTCTGGTACCATTCTCCCCAAGTGGTTATGCCAGCCATAGGCATGATTTGCATTCAGTACCAGGTGGGGCTTCCTCCTCCGGTAACACTGCTTCAAATGACTACTTCTTCCTATACCCCTTCCTATTTGTACCAGGACCCCACTCAAGCAGACCAAAAAAAACCCCAAAGCAGCCACGGTTGTGTAGGGTGCACTCATGTCTGAGGACACACAACCTCATGAGAAAGTTGTGCCAAAAGCTGAGAATGCAAATACCAGTTATTTTTATTGAAATATATATGAGAATGCAAATACCAGTTATTTTTATTGAAATATATATGAGAATGCAAATACCAGTTATTTTTATTGAAATATATATGAGAATGCAAATACAGTGGGGTCTTGACTTGAGAACTTAATCCGTATTGGAAGGCGGTTCTCAAGTCAAAAAGTCTGTAGGTCAAGTCTCCATTGACCTACAGTGCATTGAAAACCGATTAATCCCGTGGCCGTTTTTGTTCTATTTTGGTTTTTTTCTGGTCTGTAAGTCAATTCTCAGGCTGCAAGTCAAACCTAAATTTTGCGGCCAGATAAGTCTGTAATTCAAAAAGTCTGTAAGTCAAGCCGTCTGTTAAGTCAAGGGTCCACTGTACCAGTTATTTTTATTGATACACACACACACACACACACACACACACACACACACACACACACACACACACAACTGATCTTTTTCAGTTAGCAGGAAAAAACTTTATGTGGTAGACCCCCCTGCAAAAAAAGAAAAGAAAAGAGGGGAAGTTGAAGAGTTCAGGAAATTACTTGATGTTTGCTCAGGAGACACTGCCCCCATTGTCTCCGCATTCAGCTCAGAACTGATCTAACTTTAAAAGACCGTAGAGGAAAAGGCAGAGGCAGACCTCCTCTGAGGAGAAGTCAACAGGCCTGTTCACAATAAGCATGAGTGTGGTAGCTTCAGCCCCTTAGGAGTACAGGAGCAAAGCGTAGGGGGGGGCGCAGGAGCAGCAACCACACCTGGCTCGTGCAGCTCCACCCCACGCCCTAAATAAGGCCTTTGCACCTCCTTCATAAAATGTCATCTCCCTACTGTTGGGGGCGAGTGTCGGGGAGCTGTGAGAGTGCCATTCTGAATGGGAACCAGAAGTGCCGAGAACAGGAAGTGCAAAAGCCCGTGTGCTTCCTTTATCCCCATGTGCTCTGTAATGTCCAAACTTCTCTGTAGTTATTAAGACAAAACACGCAGCTTGAAAGAGGAGTTAGGATAAATTTATGGAGGGCAGGTGCTAATGTACGTGGCTACTTGTAACTCTTAGGCTAAAAAAGCAGCTGGGAAGCAACAGGGGCTGAAGGCTGCTGAACTGATGTGGATCTCCTGGCCTGGTGGATGTCCTTGTCTTCCAGATTGCAGTGGATGATAGGTGTTACAGCCCAACAATTGGAAGGCAGAAAATCCCCCCCCCCGGTCTTATCGTGGGGAATCTCTGTTCTAGGCAACATAGGATTTGAAGGTGTTTCCTCACTGCACTATATAGCCTCCTGGGGCAAAGCGAGTTAGTTTCATTGCCACATGTGCTGTTCAACACAGAGAACCCCTGCTTTAATACTCAGAAACTGTTCATTGCTGGGTGTTCCTGGAAGTACTATAGCTTCCCCCACATCACAGTCCTCACATGAGTTACTCAGGAGAGAGAAACCTAAACTACAACACCCCATAGATCCAGCAAAGGCCTCTCTGAGAAAACGGCTCTCTTTCAGTGGCAGGACAAGGATAGTAGGGGTATTCAAACCCAAACAGGCCATAATTGTCAAGTCCATACGAGTTGAGCATATCATGCAATGGGAGGAGTGGGCGGACACACTTAGGCAGGAGGACTGGTATGTGCCCCTACTCATTCAGAGAAATATGACTCAGTAACACAGCAAAGGGCTCTGCCAAGGGTCGTTCCCCATATGGTGTCCACTGGATGGCATTAGTAATTCTACAGAGCCTTAAACACTGAGGATTGGTGGAAAGAGTGATGCATTCTAGAAGTCCTATTCAGATCTGGTATCCCCCCAGGCGGCCCACACAGGAAGCTGATCTGTACATATCAAATTAGATGTTAGACAAGCTCTCTCTCGTTTGACCAGCAGTATAGTGCTCTGCATCAGGGCAGAGAGCTGATATGCCCCCCCCCTGGAATTTTCCTATGTGGCAATCTGGCCTTTAGGCAACAACAACAACAACAACAACAACAACAACAGTAGCAATAACAATAACAACAACAACAATAATAACCCTCCTGAAATTCAATGTTGAAAACTTATTTTCTCTTTAAAATGTATCTGCTCTTTTAATAAAAGTGTTTAAAAGGAAGATTAATGACAACAACCTATGTATTTTGGCCTCTAGAATAGAAGAGATATCATAATTCAGAAATAACAAAGAAGTTTCCACTACAAAGAAAAGCAAGTTATTAGGACATACTGTATATACTTAGTGTAAGTTTTAAAAATGCCCTCTGCTAGGTAAATTCACGGAAGGAATAACATTTCCAACCAAGGCACATGTTGAAGTACAGACATGATGTGCTGTATCGCAAGACCTGGGTTGCTGTTGCCATCCCCATGACCCCTGTGGCTCTTTCGATTGCCTTTTGTTAATTATCAGCGCCTTAGGTTGCTGCAAATTACTAAACAGTGGGTGCTACTTATCAGAGGCGAACTAGAGCATGTGTGATATAGGTCAGGTCTCCCGTTGGCACGCGTATTTAATGCATACCTAAAGGAACTGTTTTGCAAAGTTTCAAATAAGCTTGTGTCACTAGTGACCAGAAAGCCTGATTTCACAACACAAAAACCTCCTCTACTCCGCTACTCTGAAAAAAGCAGCCATTTTGACAAAGTTACAAAGTTCTTCAACAAAGTTCTTTTCTCAAGCATTTGAAATGCAGAGTAAGGTGTGCCTAGGCTGTTCTGGACTGATGCAGCTGACTTTGATTTCAGCTTTATTGCTTCCTCAGATATACAGAAATGAAGATCATACAACACTACAAGCAAATTTAGAGACTAGTTGTCACATGTCAGGGATGGGAGCAGCTAGCTCATTCCTATCTTTTAATACTAGTTCTTTTCTCAAGCATTTGAAATGCAGAGTAAGGTGTGCCTAGGCTGTTCTGGACTGATGCAGCTGACTTTGATTTCAGCTTTATTGCTTCCTCAGATATACAGAAATGAAGATCATACAACACTACAAGCAAATTTAGAGACTAGTTG